TGTTGGCTATCGTATCATCAGCATCGTTGAAAGTTATGAGCATGGAATTTGGTTAGCTACACGCATTATAATATACTAGTACTATTGCCCCTCAATTACCCAGCTATAGCTAATGGAATAAGACTTTTCAAAGTTTATGAACCGGCCGCTAGATTGGATTAGTTAATTATTATATATCTAGATCAGGCATAAGCATTGATCTTTTTTCCAAATTAACATTAATTTGACTATAAGAGAGCTTGTGCTTCTCAAGATGTATGCTCCTTCAGAGAGCGAATTAGACATGTACCTGGGTTTTTTTCATGACACAAACTCTAGTACTAGGTGTATGAGTGCCTCACGCAGAGTTTCCTATTTACGCATAGAACTGGTCAACTGGAATATGGATGTGCATGCATGATCTAATTATTACATATTTTGTACCAATCAACCAACCTTGAAGATTAAGAATAGTCCCTCTCTCACATCGTGAAGATGAGTTCGTTGTCGATTAATCAGTTTCAAAAATACTGAAACCAAATCTAGCTACCACCGGCAGCTACAAGACGGCGCCACATGTTTGTATGTTTGTGTTCTGCCCTATAACTTCTTCTTTTTCTAGGTGGGGGGTGGACTTTGGGGGTTCTAATTAACATGTATGCAAAATGGTATTCTGTGGTGGGATAGGATTTGACGTTGACAACGCTATCGAGCAGGGATAGCGAATGATCTCAATTGCATGATCAACCAGCGGAACTTCTCAACTTTTTCCAAGGGTTTTGCCCCTGGTAATAACTTGATTGACCAGTAAGTCAAACAACAATGCAATTATGCAACCTTTTTTTCCTACAAGGAAGAGGTGAGTGTGCATGAGCATCACATCCGCACGTGAGATACGCACCAGATTGGAGCACATGGTTTATATCATCTCTTTTTTTAGTAGGTAAAGGGTTTCGTATTAATTAACCTAGACCATGGCGATCCAGTTCACATAAGTTTATAACCCTCTCAAGACCCGACCATATCCAAACGGCCGTCTTAATCTAGCTAAATGCATGTGGGTTGCAATGGAATGATGTATCAAAAGATCGACATCCTTTAATGTGCAAGTTGTGTAGATTGTAGATAATTATAAACACAGTGGTACTCCCCCGGGCCTTTCATTATACAATTATAATGTGTGGAACGATAAAAAAACATCACAAACGTTTATGGAGAACAGGTACATGGGACAAGGGCAAGAACTTGAGCAAGATCACTTGAAAGTTTGACTTCTAGAGTCAACACACAAGGAGGACTGGGGAGGATCTTGACGATGGCGATGTCGACAAGGGGTGCTTGGAGTGCATGATATGTTAAGCGTCCATGGCAGTGGGCATGGTAGGGGGTTCGTTATTCCCCAGCATAATTTGCATGGGGCGCGTTCTTCGCACTATCTCTTTCTAAATTTTCGGTTGCAATAAAGCTATGTTGATTAATTTTCAGTTGCATTAAAGCTCTGGTGATTGCAAGTTTGTGAAATCACAATTGATTTGTACATTGTCTTGTTCGCTCATTACTTATGATAGTCAAATCAAAGGTCGCATGAGTTTAGACAGAGCCGAAGGCGGTAGCAATGTGGAGTGGAGCCTACATGGCCACGATGGTGGAAGCGAGGATGGAGGTTAATGGTACCCGGGTTAAGGTTTGTTTCAATCATGATGGGCTCTCTGTCTAGTGTTCCATTTCAAAGATACAAGATTATACATGATTCAAGCACATGTCAGGCATATCTAGAATACAAAAACATGCAAATTGAAAGTAAAAGGTAACTGGGGCATTAGATCTCGCTAGGCACGCAAGCACGTTGACATCAAGACCTACAACCTCCTGACCTCACGGCTGAATGTTATGGACCACGTTGTTGGCTTCAGTATTCTGCTAAAAGAAGGTGAGAGTACTTCTTCCACCCATCTTCGTGTCTCCGGTTGATTTTTTCCAAGAGGCATCATTCCGTGCTCTAGTACCTTGCCCTGTTTCCAAGTTCAGAGACAATCTCAGCTTGTTGATCAGCAAATTCATGAATATTCCAAGACTTCCATTGAGAGTGTATTTGGGGATTTGGGGGTTAGGGTTGGGGCGAGGGGTTCCCTGAACCGCCAAAGAAGATGATCCAAGCACGACGATTTGAGAGATGGCCGTACAAACCACCATTGGTGACGGTTTGGGATAGAGCGGGATGGTACTTTTTTCTTTCTTTCTGTTTTAACGTCCATGTTAGAATCCACACAACTCTCTCATCAACAAATGGTGTTTCATTAATAAAATGCAGTGCATATATAACACGCACACTATGCTTCGCAAGTTACTTCCGTGCTGAAGATTGTTATTAAACTTAAATAAATGAACGGTTTCGTGTGTCGCAATAATGCAGAGGTCAGGGGGTGATCCTTCTTTTCTGGATTTTTTTTTTTTTGAAAAAAGTGTGCTTGCAAGTTGCTTCTGAAGAACTGGTCCAGCTGACCCACCTTAATTAATTTAATGCGGTTAATACTAATCAAGCGGGCGGCGGTGACTCAGCCGGTGGTTCCGGTCACCGGCCATGGTGCTGGACGAGTCGATCGGCGACTTGACCACAGCACGGACCGCACTACACGTTGCCACCAACCCGTACTACAGAACAATCAGCCGGTCGGGCAGGACTACGTACGTGCTGTACATGACATGTCCTGGTAGTAGAAATTTCATCGAGCTAGCTTGCAAAACTTGGGCGATCGATACCTCCATCTCCTCTGGTCGCCCGGCGAAGGTGTCGCCGAGCTTCCGATGGAAGCTGTTCATTTGGACGAGCTACTCCACGTACGGTCGTTTCCGGCCACCGAGATTCTCCTTTGGCAGGTTTTACTTACCTCGCACACGCGTGCTTAATTGCATTACTGATTGAGATTGACGAGGTTGCACGTGACACAAGGACTATTCTCTTGGCATGACTATGTACGTACATCTCGTTGAACTCCTCAAACTAGAGTTGTCCGGGAGAAGCATCACCGACCAGAATCATCCAGCCAACTTTTACATCTCTCTCGACCATGAAAATCTGTGCCTGGTCTAGCTTTAGTCGTAGGGGATATCTATCATCTTTAGGCTAGTCATAGTGGGACTAACTTAGCTAGTAACATAACACACTTCAAGACAATTCTGCTTATATGGCAAGTAATTAATGAGATGTGGTAACATAATATGTTACTGTAACATAGCGCTTTTTAAGACAAGATGAGTCTACGAGCTAATAAATGAAGCCATCTATGATACTACTATTATGTTACTTTGTATTATGAAGGTGGTAACTTAGACTAGTGTCATATGCATGATACTAGTCTAAGTTACTCCCCACTATGACCAGCCTTACGCGATAGCGGTACATGGTTCGAAAAACAAAGCCCACGTTTCAAGAGCCAGTCCAAGCTACGGGCTCACACAATTTGAATATTCTCGTTGCCTCATTAGCGATTTGCATACCATGTCCATATGAGAGTTCGAGATCGAGCATTATTTGAAGCAAAAGGCTAATGCTCAAATGGACGAATTTCTGTCGTGTTGTCCATCGTCTCGCGTGTGTGACACATGTCCTATAGGAGCTCAGCCCGGATTGCAACATGACGCTCTTGCAGTCACCAACACAGGCAATGTTTGCAAAAGATGAGGATAGTGTGAGGCACATAACGCATGTCTGTGTGAGAGCTCGGCCTAAGGATTGCAACATGCCCTGTGTTGTAGTTGCAACATGGTCCATGTTGCAAAGGACGGGTACAACGTGTGACACATGATGTGTTTCCCCGTGGGAGCTCAGTTTGCGATTGCAACATAGCCCATGTTGCTGTTGCAACACTAACCATGTTGTAAAGGATGGGGCAGCAACATAGACCATATTGTAATGGAATTTTTTTTACATAAACCATTGAAAATAGTACAACGAAGCACAACACGGCTCGTTTTGTAATCCATGAATGCAACACAAGACATTTACAAACTAATGGGGTGCACGGCTGGTGCAGGGAGAGATCAGACGGCTTCTGAGGCAGCTGATATGATCCAATTATCATCCAGGATCAAGTTGACGTATAGCGTCGCCCTTATTTAATTTGCAACTCTAAAGCTAATAGCAGATGGCAAAGGAAAAAACATGACTAGTGTCGAACCTGTGGGCCTTCCCATCTTCCCTAAGATGCAATTAAGATGAGCCACCATTCACCACCATCCAACATTGTTGGTGTTGAGCTCATGGGTTCCCCCCCACCTTCGCCCGCCTCTATCACGGTATGAGGGATGGGGAACCCTAGTGTCTTGGTGCCAACCCATATATACGTTCGAGTTAGGATTACATGGTGGCGCATCATCAATGACGGTGGCGGCGCCAGCCTGATGAATAAGTTCTCGAGCCGTCTCATCACAATGGGCGACGTCAATGACTCATAAATGTAGATTCCTACTATCCTTTCTGAATGGTGAAGCTAGCTTTGCAGGGTATGTAGGTGTGGCGGTGGCAGCTTACCTCTGGCCTCCTACCTTGTACCCTTCACGTTGGTTCATGCTTCGATGCTGATGTGAGGCATGCCACAAATAATGGAGGTATGGTTCTATCTCATATGCGGTTCGTCTAGTTGTG